CAGATTCAAAAAATGCATTCCCCTCAGTTGCTTCCACCTTTTGATTTGATATTTACAGCATGTTTGTAAGTAAATAGGGTGGGAATTACCCATGTGCTCATCTTTGAAAAAATATCAGTTTTACTGAGATATAGTTTACATGCCACAAAGTTTACCATCTTAAGCATGTGTGTCAGAAGTTCACATGTATTCACCAGTTGCACAACAACCACAACAGTCCACCTACAGAACAGTTCCGCCTAGAGCCAGGAGTGGGGTCCAGGCAGGAGCTAGAAACGCTGCTCCTCTTACCAGTCCCTTTCTTTTCCTGTCTCCCCACCACCCCTGGTCACCACTTGCCGTCTCTCTGAGTTTGTGTGTGCTGGACCAGCAGTGGTGGTGAACCTGTGGCAGTGTGCCTTACTGGGCCTTGTGTATCACTGAAAACTCCAAAAGGCTCACCATCGCTGTTGGAGATATTTCATAAAAGTAGGATCATTCAGAGTCTCTGGCTTTCTTCATTTCAGGTGTTGTTGAGGTTTATCTTTGTTGTAGGATATATCAGTACTCTATCCCCTTTAAGATGGAGTACTCAAAATCCACGCTGAGGGTAGGCTTTGTGTTCTCTGCACATCAACAGGGTGGTAGGCCTTTGAGTTATTTCCAACCGCTTGACTATTGTGCTTAATGCTGTTCTGGACATTCATGTACAAGCTATGTGCAGATGGATAGTTCACTTCTCCTGGGTGTATACCTGGGAGTGGAGTTGCTAGGTTGTAAGATATACCCACTGAGCTTTGGGAGGGGCTCCTGAGTAATTTTTCAGAGTGACTCTACCAGTTTACTCTCCCACTAGGGATGAGTAGAGTTTCAGTTTATCTTCTGCAGCTCTTATGATTGGCTTTGTCATTATAGCCCTCTTGCTGAGCATCGAATGATCATCTTATTCCTTATAGGGAAGAAAACTAAGGGTACGTTATTTGCCAAATGTTTGCAGAGTCAATAAAGGGCCAAGCTGAAGCACTTTTTTAGCAAACACTTGTGCGGCACATTCTTTGGGGAAGGCATTAAGACTCTTGCTGTAATTAAGCCACTTAATCTTTCCAACTGTGTATTAGGTGGGTACCACCAGTGTCAGATTTTGAGCACTTGGGATTAGAGATACTCATCTAATAAAGTCTCTTCAAATATCACCAAATCCAAAGCCCTCTGAAATCTGAGCCCCTTTCGGTCTCAAGTCTTTTGGATGAAGAACACTCAGCCTGTCTCAGCATCTTTGTGTGTACCTGAGGACAGGGAGAGTCCTGGGCCTGGCGCAGGGCCGTGAGGCCTGCAGGGTGAGATGTGCAAGATGACATCACTCTCAGGTTCCAGCCAGCACGCGCAGGGCCCTGAGAGCACCCCTGACGGGGTGAGCCCGACTGAGGAGTCTCAATGGTGGCAGCCTAGCACTGGCCCTGTGAGGAGAAACTGAGGGATGCTGGGGTTGAGTGCCTCACCCAGAGTTTCCCAAGCAGAGCTGGGATCCAGCCCCAGGAGTCTTGGCTCTGAGGCCTGTGTTGTGAGCCACACTACAGTCGCCTGACCTCCACCACTCTGCTCTCTGTTGTTTTGCAAGGCCTGACTTTTAGAAATTAGCCAAAATTATCACAAGTAGGGACTCCAAGGTAAAATTCCATAGCTGGGTTCTGGTAGATTAAGCAGAGGGATAGGACTTAACAGGCCCCTGGGCATCTGCTGTGTGCCCTCCCGGAAGGGTTAACCGGCCACGCTGGTCCCACTCAGCCACAGCTGTGCTTATTGTCACAACTTAGTATAAATCTGCCCCACTCTATGGAGGCCCTGGCAACTAGCCAGATGGACCCTCTCCTGAGGGGGAAGAGACTCACTCTGAAGCATCATGATTGGCTCGGACCAGGAAAACAAGCATTCTCCTGCCACTCATTGAGGTGCCCTGAATCAAGAACTCAGAAATGAAATTCTCCTGATCACACTTTGCTGGCTCGTTCTTTTTTTTTTTTTTTTAATTTTTATTTATTTATGTGTGTGTGTGTGTGTGTGTGTGTGTGGCCAGCTCAGTTCACCAGGGGATGGGACTGGCTGGCATGTGGTGCTGGGGGATTGAACCGCAGTCCCTGTGCTTTGCTGAGCTTGTTCTAAGTAGGTGCTTTAGACCACTGAGCCATCTCACCAGCCCCATGGCTCATTCTTTTTAGTCTTTATCAGAATTAACTAGTTGTTAGCATTTGAAGCATCGTCTTTGCAACACTTCTGTAGGTTTTGCTGGGTTCTTGGATTGAGGCAGAATGTCCCATAAGGCAGTGTGAATCCCAAAGTAGCTGGACGTTGGGCAGCCCTGGGAAGGATGCTTACGCAGGTCCTGTGCTGACGCCAGCTCTTCCTCGGCTCCTGAGAATGAGACCGTGTCCGTCTGGCTCATCTGTACCCACTGCTGAGGGACAGCAGGGCAGCCCGTCCTGGGCAAGCAGATCTTTTAGATGTGTCACAAACCCAGAGTTTTGTTTCCGTCTTCTTGTTATTTCTGGCCACTAAAAATGGTAATACGGGCTGGGAAAATTTGACTTTTTTGCTAGGAGTTTCAGTTCAGCTCTGTGACTTGTTCTTCAGAGCTGTGAGTCTGAAGCAGAGCGGTGGCATCATCTGGAAGCTTGTTGCAACGCACAATCCAGGGGCCGGCGAGATAGCGCAGTGGACTAAGGCACCTGCTCAGGCAAGCTTAGGCGAGTGCAGGGACCGCGGTTTGACCCCCGGCACCCGCTGCTGCACCAGCCTTGCCTCCAGGGTGGGCTGAGAATCCGGCCGGCCACAGAGTCTAGATGTTGTAGTGCACGCCTATAATCCCAGCACTAGGGAGGCTGAAAAAAACAAAAACAAACAAACAAAACAGGAGGATCACTACAAGTACAAGCTGCGTAATGAGACTCGTAACAACCAAATACATTAAAAAATAATAAATAAATAAAATGCACAATCCAGGGCCCCCTCGGGCCTCCCGTACATCAGAATCTACCGCTTCCCAAGATCCTAGGCATCTCCTGGGCACAGTCACGCTTCTGCTGCGCTACACCATCTCCATCCCCTGCTGTCTTCAGCTAAGATTTGCACTGAGCACGCAGCTTCTGGCCGGGGTGTTTGGTAGAGTTTCAGATCCTGAAAACGTATGCACGTAGACGTTCCTTCCTTTGCCTTTACATGACGTCATTCATTTTACCTGGCCTACCACAAGAAAGAGAAAAGCAAATCACATCTAAGTTATATAGAGATATATTTAAGACTAACTTCTTAATTGCATCTGTTAAAGCCCCCATCATTAAAGGAGTCCCGAGTGTTGCCAAGATTAATTGAGAAATACCTACAGGCAAAATAAATGCTGCAGCCAAGAGGCTTAATTCAAAACCGTATCAGCCGAGGATGGAGGTGCAATTAGTGATAAAGATGTTAATAATTAGTCGTGCTGTGTTAAATTTTATATTCAGTGGTTATAGAGAGTGAAGAAAGACTTCCCCAGGAGGGTAGAAATCAATGTTTCACCTCGATTGCTATTTTAATGTGCTTATTTTAATGAGGCCAGCCAGTGGAAACCCTTGGGCGCATTTCCAATTTGACGTAAATGTAGAATTAATTATTATGGGAGCATATAATTTCAGAGTTGGAGCAACCTTGGCGGTCACTTAATCTAGTTTAGTCATTTTGCAAATGAGTGTGTCCGATGACTGAAATCCTTCCACAGATCATGTGAACCTGGCTCCCAGGCTTCGAACCAGAGATGCCGACCCTTCCGGATCGCTCCAGGTGGAAGGGCTTTCCTCTTGCCTCAGAATTCCTGAAGTACATTTGTTCTATTTTGGTCACCCCGTGTTCTGTTCCAGTTGCTTTCAGTTGTGAGACTGGGGTCTTGGGAAGTCTGTCTGAATCTGTTTTTGCTTTTTTCTTCAAACCATTCTTAGCTCTGTACTTTGTAAACAGTTGTCACACAATAAATTGCTATTCAGAATAGGATTGCTGTCCATAGCATCCTGAACGCGCCCGATCTTGTCAGAGTAGGATTGCTATTCTGGGCCCGCCTTTTACCTGTCTGGTTGAGTTACTGTGTCTTCATCTTGGCTAAAACTGGCCATGGCTATACCATGGAAGTTTTTATGCCACAGAAGTAAGTTTATTTATATCATGGAAATGCCTCACATCCGGGCTTCCCCACCCCAGTAATCTATTTGTCAAACATTCACTAGCACATCAGTGTTTACCTGATTGTAACGCAGACCTGTAGCTATGTGAAGGTGACCGCTTACCTATTGCTTAGCACGGGCTGCCTCACCGACAAATGAGGAACCCTTTGCTCACCCCTCTTCTTTGGTTTAAGGACTCAGTTCAGGGCCAGCCAGTCCCGAGGTCGGCATTCGGTTTGGCTGTGCACCTAATTTCCACTTTCTTGAAAAGCTCTTTAAACAGAAATGGTAATGGAAACAGGCTCTGGAATATGAGGTATGGGTGAGTGAGAGGAACATATAAATGTTAGAAAAAGGTGACCGGGAAAGTTGCCATGCCTGAAACTGCAGTAGCTTTATATTTCTCAAAAAACCTTCTGTAGGGCTGGGGAGGTGGCTCAGTGGCATAAGCACCTGCCTGGCAAGCGCAGGGTCCTGAGTTGAATACCCAGTACCAAAAACAAAAAACCTTCAGTAGCTCCCTGTGGCCCACAGAAATGCCTGTGCTCCCTAGCGTAGGACACAGGCGCTGGCCATAGCTTCTGTCCCGACCTCATTTCTAACCCCTCACCATGTATTCTCTCCTCCATTCTGCTTTCCAGCCTCTGTGAAGCCCCAGCTCTGGCCTCCATGGCTTCACCTGCTTCCGGGACACCCGTCTCCTCCCAGGGCCACTGCAGGTTCTCTCCCAAGCTTCTGTTCTCACCTCATGCCTTGCAGTGTGGGCCAGAGCTTCTGAGTTAACATGAAAATGTGCATGGTTTGTCATCTCCTCTTTTGCATGTCTGTCTCCAGGAGCAGAGCTCAAGGTCCCATCGGCCCTGGCAAATACGGCTACGGCAAGGCCCCGTACATCTTACCACTGCAGACGGACACCGCACACACACTACAGAGGCTTCGAAGGCAGAGGCCCTCGTCCCGGCCATCCAGGTCCCAGGGGACATCTGCCACCAGACATGGCTACCACCTGCAAGCCCAGCAGCTCCCCCACCAGGGGCCTCTGTACCACGGTGAAAATGGCCCTCACTCTGGGCTGCAGGCCTCGGAGGCCTCCATCTACCAGCTGCCTTTGACCCACGACCAAGGCTTCTCTGCAGCTTCAGGTGTCTTCCACAGCCCGGAAACGAGCAGCAGCCATGGCGTGGGGCCCCACAGGGCAGATCGGAGCTTCTCGCACCCCCCGCGATCTGCAGCCATCTCGTGCATTGGGGCCTACCGGCAGTACAAGCTCTGCAACACCAACGTGAGTACGCACCGGCCCAGGCTGGGCCTGGGGACAGCTGAGATGCTGCCTTTGTGTCCGTTGGCCCTGGGCAGGTGGAAGACAGGACAGAGGGGCTCTAGGCAGTTCCTGTCAACAGACCTCTTTATGCGCCAGTGCAGTCATGCAAGTTTTTAAAACGTCAAAATATCTTCCTCCATCTCTTTTGTCTCCATGCAGTGTCCTCCTAAACTGTGCTATTGTAAGATTATTGTTTTAGTAACTCATGCATGGCTTATAGACTCACTTATCAATAATCACTTAATAATGATAGGAGCCCTGGCCACGTTACAAACAACCCCAAGTTCTCGTCGACTGTGTATAAATCAGTGGTATTTATGCTTTGCTCAGGAGTCTGTGGGGCAAGTGCAGTTTGGCTGACTTAGGACAAGGAACTGTGAAGTTAGTGAAGTGGTGTTTGGGGAACCTCCTTGTCCTTGTCTTAGGGGAGGAGCTGGAATGGCTTGGTGACAGATGACACTTGGAGCCGTTTAGGAAGCACTTACCTACTAGCTGGTGTGAGAGCGTTTCAACACCTGAAGACCTTGTATGGTCCACTGGGGTCCACTGGCTAAATACCACCTTGGCTAGTAGCTCAATAAAAATTTATGGATTCCATCTTCATGCATTTTAATTTTTAATTGCAATATAGTACATTTATTAAAACTTCAGGACAAGTCAGGCCTTGAGCTCAGCACTTTCTTTACGTGCACTATTTAATCCTCTCCCCTTAATCCGTGGTTTTTCTATTCTCTCCATCTTACAGTTGCAGAGAGCTTATAAATTGCAGAATATTTCCAAGCTAGCGAGTGGCAGGACAAATTACCAGCATAAACTCTATAACAGAACCACATATATTGTTTTAAATATCAGTTTAATGACCAGGTATAAAAGAGAAAAGAATGAGAAAATATTAAAGAGGTTAAGTTTCCAAGTTGCTCTATTTTTTCATTAATAATTTAATCTGCCTTAATATACTGTTACTGGGCAACAGGACAGCTGTTATAGATTAGATTCCATTTCCTTATTAAAAATATATTTCCTGGTAGAGAGTCCATAGAAATGACTTAATTTGTGATCTTAATAATTCCTCCAAACGTCTGGCTTGTTCTTTCTCCCCCTGACGAACTTCAGAAATTGTTCATATCTATAGAGAAGTAGTTTTTCTAAAGCCGGTACTCATTGGCCAAGCAAAAGTCTTAGCTGAATGGCGTTGCTGGCCCTGTATAGTGCTAGATGCTGCAGCAGGTGAAAGAGGAACGTATGTTTTGTACTGAGGATCAAATGAAGTGAAGTTTAAAAGGTGCTCTATAAATTGAAAAGTGACAAATTCTGTGTGTGCCTGGTCGGTCATGCATACTCCTTGTTCTTGAGTACTCATTTCTATTTTCTTAAAATGAAATTAATTGTAGAATACATTTCCCCACTGACTGGTACATCTCTCTCTTGAAAACCATAAATAGAAAGGAAAAGAGAGACCACAGTTGGCCTGCATGTGCCGCTGACATCTGCTTAGCATTTCTTTCATTTAATTTGCATTTTTAAAGCATGCGCTTTGTGTGTGTACGTGTGGGGGGTGTTGAGACAGGGTCACCCTGGGTAGCTCAGGCTGACTTCGAGCTTGCTAAGCAGCCCAGGTTGGCCTTGAGCTCCCAGCTGTGCTCCTGCCTCAGCCCCCTGCGTGCTGGCATTACCCGCATGCACCGATACTCCTGGTTCCAGCGTCCACTCTTTACTCCCACAGCCAGTTATCCCAGTGGAAAAGGGGTTGCTTTTCTGGGTCTGGGCTCTTTGATCCTGGCAACATGGAGGAGACAGACTTGCAAGGAGTCTTAAGAAATACCTGTGGATTCATGATGTCCTCTGGCATGTTGAAAGTACGTAAGGAAAATTCTCCAACCCATGGCAGAGAAGTAAATGTTGATACAGGACAGCTTTGTTTAGTTCCCTTTTCACTGTGACATTTTTGGTTTTTTAAAGAGTTTTTTAGAATCTTTTATTTATTTATTTGGTACAGGGTCTTGCTATACAGCTGGGACTCATAGTGATGTTCCTGTCTCAGCTTCCCCAGCACTGGGATGACAGGCATGCGCCACCACACCTAGTTTCAATGGCCAGCACGGTGCTTCTGGGATTCTGGGGCCAGCACAGCGTGTGGTACCGGGAATCGAACCCAGGTCCTTCAGCTTGCCAGGCAGGTGCTTAGACCACCAAGCTGTCTCCCCAGCCTCACCGTGACATTTTGGACAGTGTCTTTCCTACTGCACACCCTGCCCTAGGTCCACATCCTAATTGTCCTTACTGAGAGGTATCATTCTTTAAGGGGTCCCACAATTGAACATATTCTTTTTTTTTTTTAATGTATTTAGTACAGGGTCTATAGGGTCTCACTACACAGATCAGACTTGTCATGATCCTCCTATTTTTAGCCTCTCAGGCACTGGGATAAAGGCATGTTCCACCATGCCCAGTCTCATTCTTGTCTCAGTGCGCCCTGGGGCCAGGGCCAGCACAGCATGCTGGGGATAGAACCCCAGTCCCTGAGCCTGCCTCAGCAGGTTCTTTAGTCTGCTGAGCTATCTGGCTGGTCCTTAGACATATTCTTTTAATAATCCCACAACTTCTTGTGACTTGGGCCACACCCCATGACTACTGCAAAGCTGTCCCCGTCAGGGGTCACCTCAACCACTCCTGGGGTTAATGGTTCTGTAAAAGACTCCACATAGTCACTCTCGTGGCTGTGAGTTGTTACGGTGGAAGGACACATAGCCTAGTCAGCCCTGAGACTCAGGGACCAGGTCCGGAGGAAGCAGGTTTACAGGAGTCCTCTACCCACAGGGTCACCTGGGACAAGCATTGGTCCTCCGACACTGAATTGTTACATAGGAAATGAGCTCCCTAGGGTCCTCAGTGGTAACTGTCCTGGAACTTGCAAGCTTCCTGCCTCAGCCTCTGAGTGCTGGGATCATAGACATGTGACACAACTCCTTTCCCTTGGCCCAGTGATAAACGTGGATTGCTGAGCAATCCAACATTTGGGCTGGGTGTGGCTTCATTGTGGTCACCCTACACCAGTTTTAAAGTGATGAAAGTGAAACTGTACAGGACTAACCATATGGCAGTGAATCGTCACATCCTCTGCCGTGTGTTGTGTGCTGAAGATTAAACCGTGTTTGGTTCATGCATGATGTCCCGTCTACATCACTACAGATTCAGCAAAGACTCAACTCTTAGTGCTAATGATTTCTGAATGTGGACTTCAAGGATAAGGAAAGTCATATGTATTTAGCTTACAGTGTGTAAGAGGCTGTTAGAGGCTCTGGTCTTTCTGAACCTGGCTTAGTGGCAGCTGTCTGTTAGCATGACTCTGCCCCTCAGGCTGTCTTCACTATAGGCCAGACTGACTACCTGGTGCCCAATTCTGCAGAGGTCAGTACCATAGGTCCATAGTGTGGACACTGATTGAGGGGGGTCAGGTGTTCGGATCTGGCTCAGGGTGGCTGAGATGAGGAGAAACAGACTCTTAAAGAGGTGATAAGAGCGTGGATGACATATCCATGTTGGCACTGTTTACTGTTTTGGTGTATTGTGCTGGGAAAGCAACCGAGGGCCTTGGGCAGGCTATGCAGGTGTTCTATGCTCTACTACTGAGCCCTTCTTAGGCTTTTTGCAGCTCCAGGAGGGCCAGCAAAGGAATGCTGGACAAGCACAGATGACCCAGGCCAGGGGAGGATTTGAGGAAGAGGAAGTGAGCCCAGGAGCTCCCAGACCTCTGGGTGGGATCAGGTGTCTTTCCAAGGAGCGAAGTCTCCCCTGGGCCCCAGCTCGCAGTGAAGGACCAGGGGAGGAGCAGCGTGATTTTTTCTGCAGCCCTGCATCTGCGTCTCCGCAGTTCGGCTGAGCTGATGACTCAAAGAATCAAGTGAGATTAGTCTTACTCTTATAGAGACTAACTGTTGCTCAAGACTTGGGAGCTAGAGGACAGGGAAGCCAAACTTTAGTCCCTCTGGTGCCTGAGGGAGTGCACTTTAAAAATCCTTTGCTACAAGCTGTTTCTCGGATGTAGAGTGGTGTTTACTAAATGCATCAACTCACTGAGACCCTTCATGCACTTTGTCCCAGGACCTAGGTGTCTCTCTCCCTGTC